ATGAATGCAAATGCAGTATGATACATGCATAAGCTTGCTTTTTAAATAAATGATCTTACTCTTGAATTTTCATCTGATAACTTTGGTATTACTACATGAATCAACTCACATACATATACAAGTAACTCATTCCTTTTAATAAACTGCATAGTCTTCCATGCTTCAATATGCTATTGTTTAATCAAACATTTCCCTACTGTTGGACATGTAAATGCTTAGAAGTTTTTGTGCTATTACAAACTGCCGGGGGAGCACTCAGGAACATATTCATTACACACTGCTTTCATGCAAATCTCTATAAATGAGACTAGAGTTGATGATAAGCATACACAACGAATTTTGGGAAAGATTATTAAACTGCCACCTAAAACAATTACTCAATTTACATTCCTATCAATAGCTAAACTTATTATCACCAAACTCACTATCTACTGCTGCTGGTGAAAAATAGTACCTGTTATCAAAAGCATAGACTTTCAGATTAAAATGAATTTCCATTCAAGGATTGCTTTACTAACTTTTGAAACCCACAGCTAGGTATTTTCTGTTTTGTTGTTATTTTTTTTCATTATTTGCATGTATGTTTAGTGAAAAGAGGAACACTATATAAATTAGCTCAGTTCAACAAAATATAGAACCAAAACTATTTAAATTATATTGACAAATATAGCTATTAATTTTTAAACTCAGACAGTATCGCATCCTCAAAATAATTACAGAAATAGTAGATTATCCTGAATAATCTCACTATGGTAAGTCAGGGAAAACATTGCTTTCATTAAGTAGGTTTGTCCTAAAATTATTAAAATTACTAATTTCAGCTAAGCACTGTGGCATAACAATTACAATTCCGCTCGTACTTGGGAGGCTCAGGCAGGAAGACAGCAAGTTCAAGGCCAACCTGGGCAACACAGCAAGACTCTATTCCAAAAAAAGAATTATAAGTCCTGTTAGATATGAATCATTTATAGGCAGTATTTTTCAAGTACCCTTTTAAACTTTTCTTTTTGCTGACTGTATTAGAAAACATTATCCTTTATATCTCTATCCTTTTTTTAAAACGTATCTGCCATCACGCTCCGCCACACCCCTTACATCTAGAAAATGAAAAGTGTAGTTAAAACTGTCCATGTCTGTGGGTTCTGGATCTGCAAATTCCCACTGATATGGTTTGGATCTGAAATGTCCACCAAAGGCCATGAATGCAACACCTAGTTTCCAGCTGATGGTATCACCGGAGGCCTTGCTGGAGGAAGTACAACACAGGGTTAACTCCTCAAGGGTGTATGTTCTCTCTGGCCTCCTCCCATCGCCCACCTGTGCTTCCTGGCTGCTATGAACTGAACAGCTTCCCTCTAGCACACTCATATGCCATAATGTTTCTGCTCTACCACGGGCCTACAGGCAACAGAACCAGCTGACTACAGCCTGAAACCTCTGATACTATATGAGTCAAAATACCTTTTGGTATTTTGTTACTGCAATGAAAAGTTGACTAAACCACAGTTCTGTAAAAAATCACCTATACTGAACTTATTTCCTAAACAATACAACCACTATTTACATTGTATTAGCTGTTAGAAGTAACCTATAAGTGATTTAAATATATGGGAGGTTGTGAACTGCTTATATGCAAATGCTACAGGATTTATATCTTGAACATCCATGGATTTTGGTTCCTAGAACCAATCCTGCAAGAATAGCAAGAAATGACTGTAAAATAAACTCCTGACCAGTCCAAAGTATATGGTCTATGCCAGTGGCTCCTGGACCAGGAGCATGTGTACCACCTACATATTATCAGACATGTACGTTCTCCAAGTCCCAACCATACCTCTGATACAAACACTGAGGACTTTCAGGGTAAAAATTTATGGTTTAATAAGCCCCTAGGTGAGTCCAATGTACAATAAAATTTGTATATATTAGTGGCTCCCAAACTGCTTTCCATAAAATTTTTTGTCCAGTATATCTCAATCAGTCAGAGCCTGGGCCAAGAAATCAGTAAGGTTTTGTACCCCGTAATCCTGCATTTAGTATTTAATTAGTATTTAGATTACTTAAATGTCACCTATTTTCCTGGCTATTTTTTAAAAAGATAGATGACAATGTCTAAAATGATTCATATAAATAATCAAGGAAAATAACAAACAGAAGTAATTCTCAAACTACACAATCTGTTGCTAAGTCATTAGCACTTGGCTACTTTGTGCTTCTCATGCTGACTAATGTAATACACCACGAAGACTGTTAACATTAAAAATATCAGCTAAGCAACTTCATAAGCACTTGTGGAGCCTTATCTAATATACATCGTTTCTCTAGCATGAAACTCATATGTACTATTGATAATAAAATTGATAGGTACTTTAAAATTCAAGGATGTTGATACTTCTGATTTTCCATCTAAAATCTATGGGGCCCTGGAAATTCAGGGAAGAAATCTCAGGTTCCAGTCACCATGCCCATGTCAACCACAGTGGCTCCTTGGATGTAAACATAACACTTTCCATAAAAAAGTCCATTCAAAGATATAGTTATACTGTTGGGGGTAGTTAACATTACAAAAACTTTTAACAAATACGTGCAAAGAATATGTGGAATCTTATTAATAACACTGAGTAAACACGATTTCTCTGGACCCCCACTTACTAGAATCTAATTTTATTGTGATATGAAAACTGATGGACCAAAAATCAAACATAAAAAAAAAAAAAAAAAACTGACAGAGAAGTGGTTCCCAGCCTTTTCTAAACTATGAAAAGTTTAAAGCATTCGAGCAAAGGCAGAGTTAGTTGATCTGGTCTGAAAGTAAGAATGAGCAATGTCTTCCTCCCTACGACATGTTCCTCTGCTCCCCTAAAGCACTATCTTTTCCAGGTTGCTCCTTGCTTTCACACTGAAAGACCCTGAATAATGAATGTACCAGAGAACCACTGGAAAAGATACCAGAAAAAAAGCAGATCCTGTAGATCTTTTGCAAAAGAGAAGGGAATCAAGAGATGGGGGGGAAGGGAAAAAGGGAAGAAAATTTAAAAAAAGAATTAAATGCGTTATCAGCAACTCATCAGAAGGAGTGCAATAATTATCTGCTGAAATGCACTAAAAAAATAAAAATTTTAGAAAAAAAAGAGAAAAATAAAAGTAATGAATATGTCTTATCTGGGTTTTTAAGTTTGTTTTTAGACACTCATTGTAAAGGAAGTTACCACAGTTAAAGCTCATATTTATTTTTAAAAATGAAGGACAATAAAGTATAAAAATTAAATTTAGAAGCATACCATAATACTTAAAAATAAACTGCTTCCTTTCAAGGAATCATGAGTTGCCATGAGTGAAAATAGCGGGGAAATTTTGTTACTATTTACATAACCTAAATGCATTACAATTCAAATATTGCTAACAAATCCCACCCTTCCATCAGGTCTGTCTGTAAAGTAGCTGTTTAAGTTACAGTATTTGGCATGGTTTTCAACACTCTTCAAGAACCATACACATCCAAATTTTCTAGAATAAGCAAGGTATAGATCGCCTGTAACAAAGATAACACATTAAATATTTCATCAAGCCCTCACTAACTGAAAACATTAGATTTTTTTTTACTGTCTTATTTTCAAATATTTTATTGGATTGTACATACATTTTATATATAATGTTCTCCCTAAAGTACATAAGTCAGATCTAGGCTAACCACAAATTAACGTGGCAAAAAGATGGTTCATTTTATCATTTATAGCTTCAAATAAAAATAGTTTAAAATATAATATTTTACATGATTTCAGCATAAGTTCAATTTTCTAAATGAATATTTAATTAAATTTATTAATTGAAAAATTACTTCAATTCTACTAAAAACACTACTAGAGTTAGGAACCAAACCAAAAGTAATGCCTTGGTGCACTTCATATATTTACGAAAACTGAAAGGTATGCAATTAACCTAAGAAATTCAACTTGCAGCATTTTCAGAGATTCAAAATTTATTGGCAGAAATAGTCTGTAGGAGGTACACTTGACTTATTATCGTTTCAGAGTCAATAAAATGAGAATACATTATGTTTTGATTTTTGTAATTATTTGGGTATTCAAGTTTCTTAAGTTCTAATTACAAAAACATGCTAAAATTAAACAGACACATATACTATTCTATAGTTATGCTATCTTGTATTAGTTTTTTACATAAGCTGTCACTGTACTTTTTTTCTGAAGATTTCCATTCCCATGTAAAAGAAATGTATATTTTGTGAAATTTGGCAGTTCAATGCAGAAATTAAGAATGAAACAATAAAACAACTTTAGATGAACTTGAAGATCTAATAATGTTAGGTAACAAAAATAATGTCATTATTTTAGGAAATAAAACTTTAAATACAATCTTAAGATATCAATTTTTAAAAAGTTTGAATTCAACTAATAAAGATCTAGTTTTGGATCATTACCATGTATGTTTTGTCATATGTTTACAGCAATTTATTTTGGGGGGTTCTAAGGAATATTTTAAGACAGGACAAAAACCATTCAGTTATGTTAATTTCAATGAAAAGAGTTGTATCTCCTTTACTTTCCAACTTCACTAAATTAGGCAGTCAAAGGTTCACAAAAGCAATCATGATATTCTGGTAAAAATATTTTCAATATTGATGAATATTTGATAGTTTGATATTTCATATAATTAAAAAACAAAATAACCTTAGAATTGAAAATATTCATTTTGCCCCAGCACAAGCTCGTGAGTTTGATCCCAGGTACCAAGAAAGAAAAGAAAAGAAATAAAAGATTAGATTAGATTAGATTCATTTCAAAGATATTGCCTAAATCTTTGTATGCACAAACCACTTTGTTTTTCCTAAGAAATGCAAAAATGCAAACAAATCATCATGTAAGTTAAATAACCAGGCGAAGACCACTATACTTAAGATACACTTTTTGAAGGAACATTAGCAAATACTTCGCAACACATAATAAAACTATAAAATGCCAGAAAAAGGAAATTGCACTTACATGCACAGCTCTCTTAATAAAAGGAATCTGTGTGCCACTGTCCAGATCTTCATTTATAATAAGCCTTCTAGCCCACTGACCTGCCCTGACAACACCACTACCGTGAATTAGGACCATCAGTTTCTGTGGGTTTGTCAAAGCATCCTCACTCATAAAGATAAAACTCTTTGGCTCATTTTCAGTAGCATCTACCTGTAATTAAAAAAGTTTAGATAATAAACAACTGTTTGCTGATGAGGCATACAAAAACTGAGAATACAACTAATGATTATAAATTAATGGTTATTACAGAACTTAGTGGTTAAAACAACTTTAAAATAAAATTATATTTTTCATTAGAAATTAGCAATTGCAGTTAGGTGGGTAAGCAAAATAGGATAGTATTTTGAATACAAAAATATATTTCAAAGAATACTGGAAATATGCCTCCCTTCATATTACTGTGTGGTCATGATTATATTATTGTCATGCATAAAAATAAGTAACTGTTTTGTGTGTTTCCTGTGATTCAGATACTATGTTAACTTTTAAAAACATTCTCATTCAATAATGATCCTATTAAGGTGATACTATTATAATGCTCATTAGAGATGAAATTGAATCTTATATAATTTAAATGAGTTGCCCAAGGTCACACAGCCTATAATTCTTTAACTGATGTTTATTATACCTGTAATGGAAAATAGAAAACCTCAATCTGAAGATAACGTCTACTGGAAAACCATAGTTTGGTTTTGAATACTAAAAATTTTTAAAAGAGGATAAAGGAAACTATTTAGAAATTCAAATATTTTTCTATGTATTTGTACTTTCAAGTTTCACTGAAATTGTGAATGCAAAATTATACAATAATTTTATGAAGCAACATTATTCATATATTCCAGTAACCTTGCATTAAGCACTAGTTAGTTAGAAGGGAAAAGTTGGATGTCCATTTTGATTGTGCTTAACATTTAAGTATCTAGCTAGATGACATATGAATTAAATTTGAAAGACTTACAAAAACACAAAGAAGGAATTACAACTTTTCAACCTTGTATCACGTGTGTCATACGTCACAGTGAACTGTATCCCACATCAATGGTGGCCAGTAACAGGAAATGGCAGCCTTTGTCAGCCAGGTTAGAGCCAGAGCTGAACAGTATGGACAGCTAGTAACATATACCCCTTCTAGTAAGCACCTTCCTGGCAAGTGTGAGATTGTCAATTTGATCCCCATTCCAAAAAACAAACAAACAAAAAAACCCAACCAAAACAAACAAAAATACCCCTACTAGAGATCAATCCACACACTTTGCAATACAATAGCTCCTCATGTTGTCAACAATAGGTATTCATGCAGAAATCAAAACAAGAAATATGCAAAAATTCCAGATTTAAAAAAAAAAAAAGCCCTTGATTCCAAACATTACCAGTCAGTAAGCATGGGAATAGCAAAATAAAAAAATTTCTGTAATTCTAAAACAATGAGGTTGGTATGTGTATTAGATGCTTAGCTATTAATGAAGCATAAATGACATTTTACTCAGAACAGAATGACCACTGGGCTTGCGGGCAGAGGGACTTCTTACTTAAGGCTTCCCCATCTATCCATTTAAAATTTCAAACACCTCCCTAAAAATTTCTTGGTCCCTTTCCCTGATCTATTTTCCTCCACACCATCTACCACAATCTGACATACTGTGTACTTTACGCATCTGTTCGTAGATGGCTTACTCAGCATCTGCTCTCTCTACTAAAATGTAAGTCCAAGAAGTCACAAAGTTCTCTATTTTGTATTTAGTTACATTCTAAGTATCTAGATTGGAACCTGGTGTGTTATATAGTTGCTAATTAAGTAAAGGAATGAACAAAAACTTTTAAAATACACTTATCAATCATCGCCAGTGACTTCTTTTAGATAAAAGGAATTTAACTAAATAATGTATCCTTTTTAAATGACTATGGTATTTGCCAGGTTCAGAAGCATATGTGAAAATTAGACTAATGCATAATGACAAAGAATTTTAAAAGAGTATCATAATGTTAAGAATTAAAATGATGTAACTGTAGCTTTATTATTAGTTACTAAAAATGTAGGAAGAGAAATATGAAGTAAAACACAACCACATTAGCTTCACTTGCATGCTGCATCCACAGTAGGCAAATTATGATGTCGAAAGCAAATAAAAGTGAAGCCACACAGGAAGAGAAGTAGATGAGAGAGAGAGAAAAAACCAAACCTGAGAAGAAAAGTTCCCTTTTACCTAGGAACATTATATGAAAACAGAGGAATCGCTCAGGTAAAGTGGCTTAAAAAAAGAAAACAGTGATAAGATCAGTAGAAAAAAATTTAAAGGCACAGATATCACTGTACAATTAAAAAAGAGGCCACCAAGAGTTCCCAGAGTAAATCACAGTGGGGCCTTAATGAATCCCTGCACGGCAGCGAAAATGGCCATCTATTTACCATCAGGAGAAAACCAGTAACGAGAGGCTCTTTAGTGGGTGCTGATCACACCCCTTTTTTCTATTTGACTAAGTCCCCTCTGTTAACCAGCAGGGAACTCGGTCAATCTTTTAAGCAATGGAATTTCGCCAATTTGAATTCCAAACTAATCATTTTAAAACTGAAACAGTACTTATTTTCATAAGATACAAAAGTGATTTTTATTATAATGCTGCTCACAAATTTTTAAGGAGCAACAAATTAAGGTAGCCATGAATGAATAAATAATAGTTTTACCTGAACATCCAGAAAAGCTGACCTGAAAATATGAGAACACCAGAATATACAAATAAAAACAATAATGAAGATGAATAATATAATATTAACACTTATGTGATAAGAGCAATACAGTACTTGAGCTAATCACTGTGTAATATTTACCTCAATTTAACAGAGGACTCTGACTATACATTGTAACTATAACTTATTCTATATAAAATCAGTGTTGTTTATGTGTTAAAATACCTATACAAAATTTTTTTTTCTTCCTTAGCCTAATAAAGTTTGGAAATGGCTATGCCGAGGCTATTTATCTTTAAACAGTGGTAAGTGATTAAGCTAAGAGATCACTTTATTGACAAATCAACCTCAAATACCATTAGGTCACTGAGACTGTATAAAACAGTATTTAGCAATTAACAATTCATTTTGTTATACTCTGGAACCTGACAAATTGTGATGTTTCACTTAATCATGATACACATACAAACTAAAAAAACTATACTGAATTTATTACGATAATTCATGTATTCAAAATTCTGTACATGCAAGAGATATAATACAGAATATGTTACGACATTTATGTTCATTGTAAAGCAAATATAAGACATGATCATGATCTTCACTGTCAAATCATGGGCTTCCACAAAGTGCTATCACTTTAAACAGCTGGGAGAGTCTTTTTAAAATAGTTCAGCTATAAAAATAAATTTTAGTTCACTGTCAAGGAAAAAAAAGGTGGTGGTACTCTTTTAGGAAAAAGAATGTCTCTTTTAAAAAATACATTGTCTCTTTTAGGTCTTTGATTTAGGAAAATTTTGGAGAAATTAATAGTTATTGAGGAAACATTTCAGAATTACGTAAAATATGTGATCATTTAAAAAAGAGATTAATTTGTGGGGTTTTTTTCAAGTTTATAAAAAAAGGGAGTCATTATTACCAAAAATGGATACACTGTTCTTTTTTGGGTCTCACCTAATATAAATCTCTCTGTACACTGATAGCATCAGAGGGAAATTTAAAATGGGTGGATAACAAACAGATTACAAAATAACATCCTCTACCTAATTTCAGGTTTTCAATAAAAATAATAAAATTTAATCATATAACATGATCTATAACGCCAACTGTCTTGCAAATTGTACTGGAAATCTATGGATTAAAGTGAGATTTAAGGTTCAGTGGAAGTAGAGATATAAGTATGCTGTATCTTTAAGTACTATTCTTGAGAAATTTTAAAAGAAATAACAAGAAAAAAGGACTGGATAAAGCAACGGAATTGTACCTTGACTTTTCAGGAGACCAAAGTGAATACACAGTTTTTATAAAAACACTACATCGAAAGTCAAAAATAAAATGAAAAGTTGCATTCCAAAAAACTGGCATGCTCCTTCCCAAAAGTTACTAAAATCTTGGCTTTCACGAAATTTCTTAAGAAAGATTCAAATAAACCTAAGATTGGCCTAGTAACAGAGCAATGTTTTATTCACTAATAAAAGTCACAAGCATTTGGAGTGTCTAGAATCTAAAAAACCTTTTAATAAACCTTTGCTGAATTGAAGGAATCAACCTCAAATACCATTAGGTATTTGCATGAATGACTAACAGCATGACCTGGCACTTGGGTTACCTATAGAAAATTAAATGTAAAAGTAGAAGTTGTTTAAAATTGAAGCATGAAATCAGCCATGTTAAGAAACCCTCAAACTCCCCAATTTGTAATAGGATATTGTTACCTAAGGAATTTTAAGTTCTTATGTAAAACTCATGCAACTGAAATTACCTATATACAAAGTTTGGTGTGCAATAAGTAGATTAGTTCCATCAAACCTTCCAAGTTCTTATATATCATACACAGAGTTGCTAGGAACAGCAAAGATCATCTAAAATAGTCCCACATGATTTCACACATAAGATTAGAATTTTTTCATTTGAAAGCTCAATGTTCATGCTTTAAATTAAAAAGTTTTTTTGTTTTGTTTTGAAGAATTTGAATCTGAGAACAAATCTCAGTTTTTTGCTCCAAAACGGCAAAATTTGCCAAATTTCAAAATAGTGTTCCGCTAAAAAGGTCCAGGACAGTATTACAAATAGCAAATGCCAAAAATGAATTTGGGAATGTTTAGAGGAAACATATTGCATATAGAAGTAAAAAATTTTTAAAAAAAACAAAATGTTTAAAAAGTTAGTGAATGTTCAGTGCAACAAAAAGTGTCCTGGTTTACTTCAAATAACTAAAAAGAAATTATTCCACTGAAACAAAAAAGGACAAAAGAAAGATAACCCTTTTAGTGTCAACATGTTCAAAACTAAACATTTGAAATAAATATTTTTTTTTTAAAAAATTAGACTTACTGGAATAGTGATTTTTTTCAAATTACAGTCCTTTTCCAGGAGCTCATATACATACTTCGTGATGATCTAAGTAGGAAAGAAACAACACATTAAGATGCAAGGTCACATTATCAAACTGATGTAAATTTTGGTAAATTATTGAAAGTTATTGCTGTAAGTGAATGTCTAATCATCTTGAAGAGTTCTGATATTATTTTAAGAGATTCCTAATTACTTGAAATGGTTTACTTCCTGTTGCTATGCAAGTATGGACCTTGGAAGTAAAGAGTAGGAACAATTATTAAAACATGAGGTATGTACAAGACTTTCTCCTTTGGATAGGACTACTCTAAAAGCCGCCTCTCTTTCCTCAAAGTTTTTAAAATCTATTTCCCTTGTAATTTCCCTACAGATCTTTTATCTAATATAATTCCTATAGGAGTCTGAGTTTCAATACTTTTGTATTCATTATATCAAGGAGGAAAATGTTTCATATTATAAACAGAAAAAAAGAGCATGGACACAGAAAATGCAGATACCAGTCAATACTGTATTTATAAGAGGTAGAAATATGGTCTCTCAAATATATGCATTTTCCAATTCCTGAAACCTACGAACATGCAATGTTACATGGTAAACAGGCTGCACATATGATGAAGATTATTGATCTTAAAATCAGAAGATTCTCCTAGATTATCAGGGGGGACTTAATCTAATTAGGTTAGTAGTAGAAAACTATGGAGGCACAATGCCCCAGAGAAATACAAAGTAAGGACTCAACTGGTTGCTCTGGGTTTTGAAAGTAGAAGAAGCAAGGCACAAACCAAGAATGTGATGGTCTTTAAAATGGGGATAACTGCCAGTATACAGCCAGTAGAAAATGAGTCCTACAATTGCAAGACACTTCGTTCTGCAGAAATAAACAGTAAATGGATTCTTCTCCCTAGCCCAAAACTGCCTGGCCACCCCCTTACTTTCATCTGGTAAGTTTCATACTGACTTTCTAACCCACAGAAATGTAAGATAACAAATTTATCATAAATGCTAAACCAATGATAATTCTTACAGCAGCAACAGAAAAATAAAATACTGTTTCTATCAAGGAAACCAGAGAGTAATAGAAGGCATGTTTGAAATAAGAGCAAATATTTAATACATAGCTTTAACAGTCATTTTGAGGAGTATTTCTCTTCTTCCAAATGTCTTTTGATATCTATGAAAGCCAGAATAGATCTATGAAAGTTATCTTAGAGAATATATCTTAGCAGTAATACAATTAAAAGTCAAACTTAATTAAACAAAACCAGATAATAAGGTTTTTTAAATTAATATTTTAATTGCTTTAATGCTACATTCTATAATTTAAACTAGATTTTTTAATCCTGCTTTTTTAAAGAGGCTCAAAATTCTTCTATGTATATATACTGTATCATTTCACCTAGAAACAATATTTAGATGTAAGAAGAATAGCTTTATCATACTTGGAATGAAAATTTCAAAAGCTAAGACACTACAGTAAAACTAGGTAATGATCTGCTACACATTAATCGGATATTATTCTCATATTTAGTTTTTTTCAATGAGGTGGATAAAATTAAATTCATTGTATTCTCACTGCAGGGTAGTGATACTATGAACTTAAAATTAAACTAAAAATACCTACATTTTACATAAAAGTAGGTTAAAAGTCACATAATTGCTAGTCACTTCAAGTGAAGTGGCTTAGCTAGATGAGACTACCTAAAATGAGTTTCTGAAAACTTCCTATGAAATCATACAATATTTTTATTGGTAAAACAACAAAACCAATCAAGCTTACCTCAAAGTTCATTTGAATTCTACTACTATGCAAAATATTTAAGAAACTTAAATTGAGAAAAAAAACTGTTGGTAGTTCAAACTCTTTATCAATATTAGCTAAAATATCACAATTCTTAATTCTCAAACTACAAGAGAATAAAACAATAAAAAATTCAAGAATTGCTATATTTGCCTTATAAAGCAAATGTCTATTCTGGAATTTATAATATATGAAACCAAATAATATAATCATAAATCTATAATTGGCCGAATGTATTTTTTCGCCTGTTCCTGACTACAGAAGAAAAACAAGCAAAGACTAACCATGCACCGCTTCAACAGTTTCTGCCCTTAGAATCTTCTTCTCAGCTTCAGTCCAAACACTTGTCAACTAGGGCAGGCAGTGTTCCTTGTCCCACCTCCATGTAACTCTGGGCATGACTGAATATCACTGTCTAACACATTCAATGGTGCTACATACCTGTTTATGACCCGAGTAGTCCTGGAATACTATGATTTGTATGTCCTATCAGTATTTCTCTTTCCATTCACAGGATTTTATCAGGCACATTAAAGGTGCTTTAAACTGGGATATGAATTCTCCTAACTGTCCGTCTGATCTACATTTTTTGAGGCAGATAAGTGTTTGCAATTTTCAGAAGTCTTTTCTAATTGCTGAATCAAGGCTTAGAAAGAAGCATCAAGGATTCATTCATTGCCTTCCAGATTGCATAGGATTGCAATCTGCATTTAGAAAAAAATGAAAACTTAATTTCAAAAAGGAGATGAGAAAAGTATTTCTGTCAGTATGTCATCTTTGTTCAAATATTCACTGAAAGCTGTGTTCAAAGATGAAAAATAAAAGGCTTAAGAGAGTAAGCATGCTCTAAAATTGTATCTTCACTCTAATAAGAAACATAAGATCTTTCAGTTTCCAATCCAATGTATAAAGAGCCTGGAAGCAGCTACTCTTAGGTGCATAAAAAGAAAAAAGTTGAACAAGCTGAAAGTCAGTAACTCTACTTAGATACATCAGAGAATTGAGGACACAGGACAAACTGCTCCCCTGAAAACTGCAGAGACAGCAAGTAGCTATGGAGAGTTTTCAGGCAGCAAAAGCCCAGGAACAGAAGCCTCAGTAGAAGGCTGCCAGAAACTAGAAATACTTAAGCTACAATGGGTAGACTCCTAGAGGCCCAGTGCGGACTAATTTAAGAGTTAAAAACTAAGAGTATGCCCCGCCCTAAAAAGCAGTGAGTGTTCTTTCTAGGAGCCCTACCAGGCTCCTCTGTGAAGTGTGTATATAAACCTCCTTCAGAAGAGGAGGGGGAAAATAACAATTTAAAAATATATTCCTCATATTGCTATTATGAAAATCCTCATGCTTTCTTAATAAGGTCTTATCTCCAGGGAAATTACCAGTGCCTCACTGACCTGACAGGAAAAGAAATGCCTAATTTGAGCTCATGAGAAGAAAAACCCAAAGACAATAGGAAAATACAAAAAAGACCACTAGAGGAGATGCTTTCTTCAGACAACCCAGCCACAGTAAACACTGCCTAACTCCAGGTCACATGAAGATGATAAGCCTTATACTAGAGCCCTATCTACCTCACTTCTTATTTGCTGGATATATCACATCAAAATTTAATGAAAAATTATTTGTCAGGCAAAAAGGCAAAAACCTAACCAAAATTCTTCATAGTCTGAAGAGACAAACCAAGCACCAGAATTAAGACTCAGACTAGAAAGAATTATCAGACCAAGAAATTAAAATAAATATGATTAATGTATTAATAACATTAACAATTATTGGAACAAGGAGGCAATGTACAAGAAAAGATGGATTAAAGTAGGTAAAATGTGGAAATCTAATAATCAAAAGGAATTGCAAGATGAGAAAAAACAAAAAACAACAACAATAAAAACAGTGTAACAGAACTGGAGAAGGCCTTTCATGGACTCATCAGTAAACTGATCACAGCCATGGAAAGAATCATTGGGACTAAAGATTTTTTCAAAAGTTACTTCTAAAACTCAAATACAAAGAGAAAAACAAAATACACAAACTGAATATGAGAGAATTATAGAACAATTACAAAAAAGGAAGTTTTGTATAATGAAACTACAAGAAGGAGAAGAAAAAGGAAATGGACCAACTGAGTAATGCCCAGGAATTTTCCAAAATTAAGAACTACACAAAAATAATAGATCAAGGAAGCAGAGATAACAACAACCAAGATAAAACAGAAAAACCAAAACACTACATCTAGCTATATCACATTCAAACTGGACAAAACCAAAGATGAAGAGAAGATCTGGGAGAGTCAGGAGCAAGGGTGTGAGGGGAACGTAACCAAGAGGAGATGGGGCGAGAACTGCAGCAGGCTTCTCTTTTCAATCATGCAAGCAAAAGAAGAGCACACTAAAATACGCACTGACAAAGAAAAATCAAACAAAACAAAATTACCTACTTGGAATTCTGTACCCCCAAAAGTATCCTTCGAAAGTGAAGAAAGACTCAAACAAAAGTTGAGGAAAATTCATGCCACTAGTCCTGGCTTCCAAGAAATGTTTAAAGAAAGAGACATTTCATAGAGAAATGATACAAATGATACAAGTCAGAAGTTTGGATTTACATTTTTTAAAAAATGGAAAAGTGTTAAAGAAGAAACAAAGGTGAAATAAATTTTTAATTTTTTTCTTATTTTTCACTGATCATAACTTACAGATAAGCAAAATGAATGACAGCCATATTATGAGTAAAATGAGGGAGAAACTGATATAAAAAAAAAAAACTACGCAACGTAGAACTATCCATGAGATCTAGTATTATTTGAAAGAAATATTGGAAGCTCATATTGACTACAACTGGTAATTCTCAAGGATTTCTTTTGATTTCTAGGAAGCAACCCACAGATAAAATAAATGAATCTATACCAGAAGGGATGTACGTAGAATAAACTGTTAACTACCAATAGAAATATGTCCTCTAAAGAATTAGATTCTAACTCAATTGTTCCTAGCTCAGGATTTTCCATGTAGAGAGTAGAGGCAAATTTTAAAAGGGGAGTGGTAATGATCAAAGAGATAGACCACAGAGCTAAGATAAAGTCTGAGAAAAAGGTTTCTCAGTGGAACACTTCCAATTGAAGAGAGGAGTATTCACCTGTTACAAATTTACTCTTGAAATTTATTAGACATTTTCTGCATCCTCATCAGGTACCTCTTGGTTTCAACATTGCTTCTGGTCCTTAATTAAATAAGAAGCCAACACTTATATCCTT